CATAGATCACATTTTTAAGACCGGAATGAGTTTTTTATGTTCGCTGACGTTTCCGACTTTTGCCAAATCGAGGTATCGCCGTCTAATTACGCCTCAAAGAAGAACACGACAAGACGGGCACAAACAGAGATGTCTGTACAGCCATGTCCATGTAACCAATCAGATAGTGTCCTAGAGTGAGCTTCGACACCATTGGCTTACGGATCATCCAACTGGCTTGAGTCCTAAACCCGGCCGCATCAGTCCACGTCATCACGTACAGTGTGTGAGCAGTGGAATGTGCGTAGCATCTAATTCAGAAATAATTATTTTAGGCTAGATTTATGATTTTACGAACCGAATACTAAAATCCTTGATTCACTTAGTCCAATCCTCGCAGCACAGATAGGTAAGACTTTGGCTGTAGCAGATGTTGCCCTTGAGATCTCGAATCGCATACACGATATGAGAGTTTCTTTCCGAAAGATTCAGTTGAATCTAGTGTATGCTTCCTTCCAGGGGCCACTTGGCCTGAATGCACAGACAGATTGGAGGTGGTTGCAAACGAGCACTAATGTAATGTTCTTATTATATGCATAAATTGAGTTTCCAACTTATAAGCTAATTTAATCGACACTGTTATGTGTAATTTAGTGATAACTGCCTATTGGGTTTGATTGCGCACCGTACAGAAACTGAGTAACTATTGTTCTTTTAACCTTTCTAGGTTTAGCTACATACGTACTGCATAGGAATCCACCAACTATTCACTCTGGAGCCACAGCAAAGAAGCTTAAGGTTCCTAGATTTATAGTACCTTTGAAGAACAAAACTGTTATAGCCCCAACAGAGTTAACCGGTAAGTCCTTATCTTTTGTTAAGGATACAAATTCATACATTTTGCATGTTATGTTGCTCAATTTATATTTTTATTTATTATAGATGGGGAAGATTTGAAGAATGTAGGGCGGGTGACTACAAGTTGCATAGTCTCAAAAGCTGCAGCCCACTTTTGGCGCTGGTGGTGAGTTCAGAAATAGCTCACTAACTGTTTCCTAGTATCGCCGATTGGAGGTCCGCGGGAGAGCAAGCCTCTTTCACGTCGGTCACAGAAAGTGACTTTTCGACTGAGGAAGAGCTGGAATGGAATAACCACGCGGATGCAGGTATTGTCTGTCTGACATACATTTGTATCCTGCTTACATTCACTGCTAAATTGGAAGTAGACATTTAAACAGACAAAGTGCTCAAATCTAATTCAGAGTAGAACGAGGATGCATTTAGCAGATCTTAGTAATCAGTAGAATATGCAAATTCCATGGTACAATGCACTTTTATTTGAGTTACCTATACGTCAGGACGAGCCAGATATCGTTGGATTCTTGAGTAGTAGCTACTTACGTTAAGAGCACGCCTATGTCTAATATTCACCAACTATTGCCTTTTCATATGTGTCGAATTAAACGCAGCGAGAACTCCCAGGTCTGACACAAGG